TAATTTAAAGTATTAAAAAATATGTCTATTAACTTTACAAAGAAAATCAGTTGATATTATTGGACTTATTATTTTCAGAGAAAATTCATAGTAAATAAATTACACATTTAGTAAACGATATCATTTATTTTTTAGAGCTGCGATTTATATTACAATAATATTGAAATATATATATTTTTTTAACAATGTAAAAAGAATATCCCGGAACCTGAAAAAGAAAGACGATCAATTAATGACTTAAATTAGTTCAAAATACATTTTGCAAATAACTAGTAAATTGGAAAGATAAACATACTATTAAAAATACATTTTAGTAGTATGTTATCATCTATTTACTGATAATACATAAGTATATAATAGGTAAATAACATGCATAAGGCACTATGATACAACTAATATCACAAAAAATATGTGCTAATTTAAATGCCTTTAATCTCTGATCCTAAATGATCTAATGAAACACTATCTAGCCTCAATGCATGCCATTCTAAAGGCAAAAAAACTATTATACCAGATAAATATAAGCTGAATAAACATAAACCAAGCCAACGTGCATAAACAACCAAAAAATGCATCAAAAAATACTTTTATCAGATCATACCCTTGGATATATTATGTATTTTATATATCGCACATCCCGTTCAAAAGTTTACTAACTCAAAATAGAGAATCAAGAGAAGTAAAAGAAAATTTAAGTTAAGGCAATATGCTCCTTTTTGCATATTAATGGCCAAATAATATAATGTTGATTTAATAAAATTTTACTGGCATCCTTCTGAGGTATAAATCAGATTAAAAGGACATTGATTTTGTAATAATTGTTTGTTTTGTAAACATTTTTTGAAGATAATACAGTTTTGAACGGGTTGTGCGATATAAACCAGGATCTTACTATTATTTGAGGTTAGAAAGTATTTAAATAATATAAAACATAATCAAATTCATTTTTCATCATAAATTATAGAGGTACTTACGTGTTTTGATATTATTATCAGGAAATAATACGTTTAGTTAAACAGGTACGCTGCCAGGCAAGTTCTATCGGCGGGTCTTTGCAAAAGTTGAAATCTAAAAATACAAAAATACGTTTACATCTTAGTTGTATTTACGAATAAATTATTTGTGTGTAATTTCTGACTTACCAGTTAACTGAATAATCGCATTAAATGCATCCAAATGGTAATTTAATATTGTAAAAAAGCAAAATTGTTTTAAATCACTTGCCAGGACAGCCGGTCAGCTTCTTTGTTGGCAAAAATGGCCGCGGTATCATGATTTAAGCAATGTGAGTGACAAAGAAAGCCAATGCCTGGCAGATGTTGCTTTCTTTGTCGTTTATCCTGGCACGTTTAAATTTGACTGTTGCCTATTTTCCCATACAAGTGACACCCCCGTGGTATAGAGGATAAATTACTGAACATTTGGTGTCTTCAAATTCTTTCATTGGAAGCTTCAACATCCATATTTGGAAGTTTTTAACAAGCGTATCCAGAAGCGACTATTTTGAACCTTTTAACTCTCTATTTTCTTCATTTTTACAATTCTAAATCTTTGACCTCAACAGTATCTACTCTTAAAAACATTTTTTCAACATTAATTCAAAATTTATCCTACTGAAACACTGACCATGACAGATTCTTTGTTTTTTACCACTCTGGATCCACCCCCAGCAAGCACACCAATCCATCGGCCACGGGTATCGATCGGCTCCTGTCGGAAACTGGAGAGCGCTAGCCGATCTCTCCCGAGGGTATCCAGAAAGCGCCTGGATGGTCCTGTGGTCCAGGCCTGTTCCTAGTCGGCGTCGGCGGGCGACCTACGTCACACGTAGGAGCGTATCGCGAGGTAGTGCGCGTTGTTTGGTTGGGGAATACGTCAGGGATGAGTGACATGGGTCGAGGGTTTTGTTTCTGAGGGTATATCGTTGGTAGTTATTAACGTGGTAGGTAGAGCCTGTCAAAAAATGAGTGAAAAAATCAATACGAGTCCCTAAAACGAGTTTTTGGAAATTCCGGACGAAATTCAGTCTTCGTCGAAAAATAAATTATGAATTAATTTATGTAAAGTTTGCCTAACGGGAGAATATCTGACAGTGAGAGTTGTCTGTCATTTTAACTCACAGGTAAATTGTATTTTCTGTAATTGTTCGGATGTCGTCTATTCCTCTCTGACTCTATAGACAGACGGATAAACTTTGCTTTAAAGAGAAGATTAAAGGCATTGACAAAAATCTTAAGTATACGCTTTTGCTTTTGTGAGCAGTACCACAAATTAACAAACAGTACTACATACGTTACAAATTACATCAGAATTGGGATCCATTTTTAATATAAGAGAAAACTTTTTTTAGCATTTCAATAATTATTACAGTTGGGGGTTAGAACCTTTAGTGTTACACAGCAAAATAAAACACTAAAAAACATTTTGTTTTGGTGTATTGCATTGTGGTGATTTAGTATTTTGTTTTGTTATTTCATTAATTACTACACACTTTCATTTTAGCATTATTAAATGCTTGACTTTAACTCTAGTCATATACTGTATGATTTAAAAAAAAACAGCATCGTGTTGGCGTTGAAATGACAAAACCACAGTTTTGAAGCAATCTCTGACAAGTTTTTTTCGATCGTACGGTAATTTTTATCTGGACATGCTATAGTTTTTTCTGGTTGTCTTTATCGGTGGAGAGAGTAATTAATAACTACAGGGTGACCCAGTATTCCAAAAAAGCTCGATATCAGCTTTATATGACATATTTTTACTCGAATTTCTTTTATAAAATACATATTAATCATAATACATAATATATTTTACATCAAAGTTCTATTTCTTTTAAACGGAAATTTATATCCGTACCAATCACTAGCTGCAAAAAGTGTTTACACAGTTACCATGCCAATACTGATGGCGCCAACTACTGGTTACGTGTAAATCAGCATTTATAAACGAATATTCAATGGATTTAAATTATCTTTAATTCATTTCAAGGTACTTGTTTCAAAGGTCAGCTATGCATTTTATTGTTTATGTTTTTTTTAGAACGGCATATGTATGTCTAACCAAATCTGTGGGCAGTTACTTCAACGTTAACTAATTTCAAATCATTATAGAAGTTTTATTGATCATATGATAAGATGGCACACACAGATTTGTCTTAGCTCTCTTAGTTCTTGAAATACCCTTAAGCAATAATTAAATGAGTTTTGGTTACTTTACAGTACTTGGTATTACCTTAAATTAGCTTTTTAGTACTATACAAACAAAACGGTGAGTTAATTTTGTTTGGTAGAAATACATTTCTACTATACTTCTGATTTGGGCGTTTTGTTAGATAAACTTTTTTTTATGATTGAATTTTTATTCATAAGAAATTCCTAATTTAGCTAGACCACTCTCAATATTACGTGTGTAATAGAGAAAAATATATTGTAGGGCGTAACTTTTTTATCTCTACTGCCCCAGTTAGTTACTAAAGCCTTCGTGCTAATGGTTAATCCAGGCCTAATTTCAGCGTTCATCTTCCATTTTAGTACCATATCTAATTTAATAAAGTAATTTATACGATTTTAACGTGAAATAGGTCACGGGAGACACTAATTTAATTAAAACATTCGGAAGAGATTAAGTTCGCAATCAAAACGACCCAAGAAGCTTAGTATTTATTTATTAGCAATAAAAAATATTGTTCTTCAGAAAGAAAGTTCTGAGAAATTTCTTCGAGTGTTTTAGACCGTTGGAGGATTCCATTCCAGGTTATGGATGGAGTCTTGAGTTCTGTTTTAAGTTGGTTTCCACTTGGGAAGCAGAACAGTTCTGGCTCAGCTAGTGGAGTGTTCGCTCCTTTTTTGTATTATACCTAGATCGTTTGATTTTTCATTACCTTCTATCTTTTGATGGACTGGCACCCCATCCAGAGTAGGAGGACTTTGCCTAACTAGTTAAACCCTAACTTTGCCTAACATACCCTATTTTTTTTCAAAAAGCTATACATTAAAAAAAATTGTATACATTAATAAAGACATTTTCTTCTATACAGGGTGGTCCGAACTGTAGGTATTCCGGAAACTTCGGCAGCATATTCTGCAGATAAAACTAAAAAAAGTTCGTATAAATGTATGTCCTAAAATGCCGAGTTTCGGAGATACAGGGTGTAGAAGATTTTTTCCGAATAATTTCTGAAATAATTAAAATTGGTATCTGCAAGTTTTTTGACATGAGAAATTTGATTTTGGTGTCAATATGACTCCTACTTGTAGAGGGCGCCACCTACATATTTTTTTAACTGCTTTGAAGAGTAATAACTTTTTGTCCGTAACTGTATAAAACTAACTAAAAGGGCTCTTGGTAAAAATCGCTCCGAGCAACCGTTCTCAAGAGAATTTAGAATGGAAATGGTCAATACATGTCATTATTGACAAAAAATAAACATGTTGAGTAGATAGTTATTTGACTGAAATTATAAATGTGGGAACTTTTTACTTTTTTAAATTAATCATAAATTTTTCTTCGAAAAAAAGATGGTCAAAGAGTTTCTGTTGAACTTTGGGCACAAAAACATTTAAAATTTATGATTTCAGTCTAATAACTATTTAGCTAAGATGTTTAATTTATGTCAATGACGACAGGTTTGATAATTTCGATTCCAAATATGTCGAGAACCATTACTCGTAGCGATTTTTTACCAAGAGTCTTTTTTTACGTAAAAAACGTCGTAAGTGTATATTTTTTACTCGGTAGTTTTATACAGGTATAGACGAAAAGTTATTACTCTTCAAAGCAGTTAAAAAATGTGTAGGTGGCTCCCTCTACAAAAAACGTCAAAAAACTCCCAGACACCAATTTTCATCCAAACTGGAAAAAATTGAAATAAAAATGAAGCTTCTACACCCTGTATCTCCAAAACTAAGCATTTTAGGACATACATTATTTAGACGAACCTTTTTATAAAAAATATAATTATTTTTTCAAAAAGATATGCAGATAAATAAAAAACATTTTCTTCTGTATTTACTAAAATCTATTTTTAAATAAATTATTACAAATTATTTGGTGCTAACCCTGGTTCTGTTTTTATAATGGAAATTTATAGCATAGCTCCTCGTTTTGAATTTCTTCTGCGTTTTACTCTCTTGTATCCAGTACTTCAAATGGTTCTTCTTGCAGTGGTTTATAGCTTCATCTTTCGTGGCAAAATTTAGTTTGATGTTGGAAATGGCGTCGCCAGAAGAACTCCAGCCCATCAGTGGGTTCTCCCATCGTTCCCTAGTGTCAAAGTCGACCTCCCAGTGGTCCAAACCACGAGTACCTTGAAAAAAAAATAAAAATTTGTATTTTTTGGTTTAATATTAGAGATGTGTTTAAAAAAGGCGTTCATTACAGCGCTTTCACATGCGACGAACCGTTCCGAAGGACCGTCCGTCGTGTTGTAGCGTTTTTTTTATAAACATTACCACTGCGAACGGCAGCTTTTCATCGGAGAGCAGTCGTGGATAAGGTATTTCACTGGAAAGAAAACTAATTAATAACAATAAACAAAAAAATATAAATATTGGGCGTCAGGCATGTACAGAGAAAGAAAACACAGTTGTATATTACTTAAAACTAATGGCTATATTTATTCATGATGAATTCTGATGGTAAGTAGCATTGTACAATTTTAATAATTATTATAGGTGGTTATATGTCAACGAAAGTGGTGTTAAGAATTGTACTAAATATCTATGAAAACAACTATGATAAAATACAAGACATGTAAAGTTTAAGAGAATATATGAAATGTAGCATTACTTTAATTAATTTGATATATTTTATATGATGTTAGTGCAATAATAATATCTATAAAAAAGTAATACTATTACAAGGCGTAATATAGTGAAACCTCATATCTAAATCACATTGTAACGTAAATCGACATAAATGTTCTTAATAATCTAACCACTAAATATAGTCTGTCCGATATTATTTAAAATGTACGTTACTGTTTAAGACTGAAAATCGACTGAAAACCAGAACCTAAATCTACACTTAGCTGTTCTTGAGGCAATCCTGTTTCGAAGAGTAGCAGCGTGAGGTGGGCTCATATCTCTGCACTGTCTGTCGGCGATCCTGTTGGCCAAAACAACAAAAGGGGCCAGAATGAGGACACCATGAATCACTACAGCCGTAGCTACTGACTAGGCTTAGAAATGGGAGCGAAGCAGCATGGGGCTCACGCTGTATCCATACTGAGGCAATATGGGGCACTACCCGTACCTTGGAACACTACTAGAACCTTGGATAATATCCGTAACCTGGACCATAACCTTTGACCATAACCTTGGACACAGTCCGTCCATAAGACAACGGTACAGGGGAACACTACCCGTACCTTGGATACTACTAGGACCTTGGATAATGCCCGTACCTTGTAAATAGTCCGTACCTTGGACCCTAAAAATATGAAACTCTTGTTTAAAACCAAACAAGGTCTAATAAACAAAATAAACCTACCTCGAAATACTTCCGAGGGCTCAATAAATAATAAACAACCTGTCCTTTCTTCCATGTGACATTCTGGAGGACAAAAGAAAAGGGACGCCAACGTGCCAGCAAAATACAAATACAAGTTGGGACATCCGTAACTGTACCCTAAAAATATTCAATAATAATATCGAATCTATAAAAGGTAATAACTATCTTTACCTGTAGCCTCGAAATAACCGCTGATTCAGATTATACAGCAAGATTTAAATAATCAGCATTTCTAAAAAAACTGGGACTAATGGCGTCTGACAGGCCAAACGGTCAAACCAAAAGTGCCGTTAAATCACAGAGAGTTGACAGAAGCGATGTTGACAGCGCGCGCCTCCACAGAATAGTGAAACGATAGCAGGGTTGGCGACTAGGGAACGTTTGAGGGAACGTAAAAATTACGCCAAGCGTACCAACAAAATGATCAGGCCTGAACGAGAGGGAATCCGGTGACGATAGGCCAGACATCATATATTATATGTAAAAAAGACATGTAACGAACTAAAAACGTTACAGTGTTTTTTCAAGATAGCCGTCGGACGAACTTCGTCGGACGGTGCATACGCGCCCATGTGAAATTGTTCATATAAACTCATGGTTCATGGTACTTGCTCGAAGTTGCGGACGCTCCGCTCCAACTGAAAGCGCTGTTATTCCCAAAGAGTCCTGGTTTATAAATCCAAACGAAGAGAGACTTTGAGTCTTTTTTCTTTTGGATTTAGAGATGTGTGATACCAAGAATAATTGGGACAGCGTGTATGAATTCGGTATAAAATCGATAAAAAATTAAATCAATATTTGGCAATAAGCACATGAGGCAAAAATTCAAGATGACTAATTCAAATATGAAAATAGCACAAAGTTAAACATTTACCAATTTTTTTTATTGGTAAATGTAATCTCTCGAATGGTTTATGTCGTATCTAAGCAACAGAAGTCAAGTTGTGAGGGTGGATACCACGTTTTCTTCTAGGAAGGCTCAGTTCGAGGCCCTATTTTGTTTCTTCTTTTTATCAACTACCATAAACATCAGTGGCAAAATATGTCTTTTTGCGGACGACACTAGCTTCACTTGGAGCAACAAGGACGTCACGGCACTTCATAGGATTATATCAAATGACTTAATCACCGTTACCTCTTGGTGCGATTCGAACCTCCTGAGTCTCAACATTTCTAAAACTAAAGCTTTGTCGTATAAAAACTCGCTGATGCCTTTTGTACTTAACAACACCACCATTGACGTCGTAAAATCTGTAAAATCCTTAGGGCTTGTTGTAGACAATTATTGTCTCAGATGGGACATGTATATCAACGCTTTGTCGAAAAAAATTGAGTTCTGCCTGTTTTGCATTAATATGCCTGTGTTTTGCATTAATATCTGTTTCTAAGGAGTTTAACTTGTCAGTGCCTTCCATTCTGAGGTGCGTGTTGTGCGACTCAATTTGACCGCATTTTCAAGCTCCAGAAGACAGCTGTTCGATATTCACTGGGACTAAACAGCAGAACTCATTGACAGGACTTTTTTAGAAAAACTATAAATATTAACTCTTCCTTCCTTATTTATATTTGAATCCGTTTGCCTAATATGTAAGCATGTATCAGCTTCTCAAGAAAGGCCATCTCACACTTATCCACTCAGGAACGCGGAGCAAGATCTTTATCTACCTACCCCACGCTCAGAGTTGAAAGTTCAATATTATACACTCGAAAAAAATGCACAATCACCTGCCATTTGAAATCAGATCCATAACATCATTTTCATTCGCAAAGCATTGAAATCTTATTTACTAGACAAGGCTTTCTACGCCGTAAATAACTTATATTTTGATAATCGAATTTGATCTTGTAAACACTGGTCTAATGTTTGCTATTACTATATTTACCAATGACATCGAAATAAATTTATCTAGAGGTCAATGATATTTACTATAAGGGCTCGAACACACTGACGACCAGGTCGCACCGGCCAGGCCACCTCTAAAACCATTGAATCAAATGATATAGCGCACACTAACGTCCTGGCCGTCCGTTGGTCGTTGCGACCAGAAGACTGCACGGAAATATTATTATTTTCTGCCGCTTGTTGCCGGTTTTCTTCCAAATTAATAATTTTTCAGATGAAATCCCTCAAATTCAAGGCCAAGAAAAAAGACGTACGTTCGCCAAATTTTAAAGCATGATTACGAGTCTCACTTCCACTCGTTTGTATACGTCAATATCATGTCAATATATTCATCCCCCCCCGCAACTACGTCAAAATTGATGTCACGAAAAAGACGAAAACGAAACTAACGATTTTATGGACAAATTAGACCGGTTAGTCTCTTTAAAAATTGTAAACAATTCAGGACTGTTTAATCGGCCAAATTTGTCCATATAAACTACAGTTCTTGCTGATATGGGAGGAAGTGAAATAGGAATTGAATATTATTCACGTATGCCTACGAGTGGCGTGGAAGTGTGACGTAACGATGACGTAATTGAGCAAAACCTAACCAAAGTACGTGTTATCAGAGGTGTTATTTATATATATTATATATTTATAATATGTAATATTATTTATGTATTATTTAAGGAATTAAACAATCCTGTCTCTTTGATCCTGTCTATTTACCGTTTATGACTCGACCAATTAAGGTCCTTAATTCATGATCCAGTTCATACTCTGACATTTTACTGAACACCTGAGGATGACGGAAAATGATATTTGTCGGCTCAAAATTTAAAGTTTACTTGCGGCCTCTTTTAATGTAACTTAGATAACTTAAAAGCAAAAAAAAAACAGCTTTTGTCAGCTGATTTACGGTTTTGGTATTATTTTTTATAAGAAATATGTAAATTCTCAAAATGTGTAGCACAGGCGATTGTGGTGTAGCTGTGCAATTATGGTAGCAAATGTGTAGCAAAATACACAATTGTGTAGCTTGTGGCAACTCTGCGTCCTGGCCGTCCGTTGGTCGTTGCGACCAGAAGACTGCACGGAAATATTATTATTTTCTGCCGCTTGTTGCCGGTTTTCTTCCAAATTAATAATTTTTCAGATGAAATCCCTCAAATTCAAGGCACAATATTTTATTTTCTATAAGATATAGTGTTTTAGTGTAGTTTTTGCACACGTGCAGAAAATCCAAAGAAATAGCATACAGACTGGATCAAAGGTAAACTTAAATCTAATCCCTTTTTTTATCAAGGGATGATTCTAGTAAAAACTCAAAACATTTTTATATGACATACCTACTCTATTTATGGTTGGTATGATATCTGTTATTATACCTTTGAGTTTCGATGTTTAAAAATTAAAAAGATAATATTTAAAGTTTTTCTACAACCACTTGTTTTTTTTTATTAAATTAGTTTTTTAGTTGTATTGTAGTCATGTACAAGGAGGACAACTGTATTTTAAATATGATATTTAATTTAACGTTTTCAAACAGGGTTCAATAGACTATGTTTCTACTAGGTACATTATTTTGAAAAAAAAAATTAAGAAAGTAACTTAAACATTCATAAAAATAGAAGTAATTACTGTTGTAGATTCTTCGTTATATTGTAAACATTGAAATAACTGGAAGCTAAACTTTCTACCTGCTTATATTTAGAGCCAGTGTCTGACGATCTTTTTTTACGATGGCCCTAATATGTTTACTTCTAAAGTCGATAAGGGCGCCATATCAGTAGAAAAAGAAACAGAATATCTCCCTTTTTGTCGGTCGCGCGTACACAATGCTTTTTGTTTGTTGTGAATAGCAACTTCGCTTTTTAGTTAACTCGGATATTTTAACATTTCTGAAACAATATTTTCTAATTGGTAAAACGTAAAAAATCGTTAGATTTGACAACTCTGTTGAAACTGGTCGTTCATCTGGCCGCAGCAATACATCCGGTCAGTCGACGCGACGGCCAGGTCGTTGCGACCTGGTCGTCAGTGAGTTCGAGCCCTAAACTTGGAGATAATTTTTTGAGGTGTCTACCAACCTTTTTTTCAGAGATAAAGTGAAAAAAATAGTTGATTTTTTAACCCACCCTAGTGTGTTTATGCTTTCTTACCGCTCTGCATGGCGTTCTTCCTTGGCTGATATATCCTGGCAGTTCTTTTACAAGCTACGTATTTGGCCGGCAGTCCAGAAATGAGCATGATATCGTCAGGTTCCCTAATAGATATTCGGCATTTTTGTAACTGTCTTACTCTGGTATCTTCCGGGGTCTCCTGTTTTATAGGTACGGGATCTGCATTTATTTTGCTTTCATCTTTTTTGCATTTATTTGATCCGGATGGGTCACTATCTGTGCTCAAAGTGCGAGAGCCAGTTTTTGGTTGAAGAAAATGAGGGTTTTTGGAGAAAAATCTTGGAATTATATTTAAATTTTGAACAAAAAACATGTTGGTCGACGTGACGTCTTTATATTTTTACTGTCGTTGTCACATAACCTGTGTCCCTGTCACGAAATGTTTGTCAATAAAATCAATTTTTAAATGTATCACATTTAAAAAAAATCATAATTGTGCGTTATGTTTAAAGAACGACAGCTCCCAACGAAGAACTACATAGCCTAGCTAATTCTACGTAAAAAACTCTACGAGACTTTGTTTTCACCTTTTCGATAAGTTACGAGATAACCGAGATATGAGGGGTATCAAAAAATTCAACATTTTCAAAGTCACCCCGTAGTTCAGGATAATTCCTAGCAACAAATATGTGTGTGGCATCTTTAGTTTCATAAAACCAGTAGGTAGTGCAGTGATGTGAAAACCACATCGTTGTGTTTCGACTAAGGATAAACAACCCCTAAAACACACGAAAATGGGACACCCTGTACATGTAATCCGTGCATTGGAATTATGTGTGTGTGTTTTGGGAAGGACAAAAATGAAGCGAATTTACTTATGCAGATCTAAGGTGTAAGATATTTTTGCTCGATATACAGGGCGAGTCTTAAATAAGTGCAAATATTTTTAGGGGTAGTATATTTCGAGCCCATAAACAAGTCTATGAGGTTTTTTTAAATTTGAAAATTTCGAATTTTTTGAAAAAAAATTTAAAAATTTTTTTTTCGGTTGTTTTGGACTTATTTGAAAAACGGTAAAGAGAAAATATATTTCTTTCATCGAGATCTACCAACCCTAAAAATATTTGCACTTACTTAAGACTCACCCCTTATAATTGCTTACAATGTAATACTTTTTATATTATTTTGAAACTTTTGAAAAAAATAGCATGTTATTTTTGTTTGTTCTATTCGGAGTAAAAATGTGAAAAAGTATCATTTTTACTTCTAATAAAACAATATACTATTTTTCTCAAAAACTATGACACAAGACTATGACAAAAATATGACATTGGTCGCATTTTTTACAAGAGACAGAAAATATTACAGTTGGGGTTGGAACCTTTGGTGTTACACAGCAAAATAAAAACACTAAATCACCACAATACACCAAAACACTTTTACTTTTACACTGGACGCGCGTTTCGCTAACCATGTTAGCATCATCCGCAGATGATCAAGACTAATCCAAAAAGTACAATTTAAGCGTTTATATTACTCGCTCAGTGGGTACCGAGTGGGTATGGTAAGATCTAGCCAACGAAGAGCCCACCGAGCGTAACAGTTAGATTTCCGCCTAGAGTAATAGGAACAAAGAACTTGGAAGGAATTGGACCGTTGTCCCTGTTCATACTATCTTTACATTTATTAATTCTGATGCTTTCATACGCATCTAATTGCCTGTAATTTGAGACTTGTTTAATTAATTTTAAATTATTAATATCTATACAATGTTCTTTATCAACAATATGTTCGCAACGCAAGATTTATCCGGTCTACCATATCTTATCTGAGCTAAATGTTCTTTAAATCTAGTTAATATTGATCTTCTAGTTTGCCCAACATATTAACAATATTGATCTTCTAGTTTGCCCAACATATTAACATATTAACAACATAATACCCGACCTTTCCAGTGGAGGTGTTTTATCCTTTGGATTACCTACAGTACGTCTGCTGGATCTGTGTCTATGAAAGGAATGCAGACAAAAAACACTTAAATAAACAGCAATATATTTTATACGTCGACTTGACGAGTACGTCACCACAAATCGCTCCGCCCACTCATTTTATTGGCTACTTGCAAATTTGTCGAATTTTTATTGATGGGACGCGTCGTCTTATTTTTTACGAAAAACATCCAGAGAATATCGTTTCCCCTCTCACGGATACCCCGTAGCTACAGAGCGGACAGACGTACTGTAATAATTGTTGTATTAGCACTATACACAGGTTCATAATTGACATTCTTAAAAATTCCTTTTAGGCCACGGGATAACTCTCTATCAAACGGTATTGAAAAATATTTTGACGCATCTAAAGAAAATATGGAAAAGAGATGATAGAAAATATGGCAAATACCAGAAAAACCTTTTTAATGGAAAATTTAGTTCTCTATTATTGGACCACCCTATACAAAAAATACTGTTTGCTAATTTAAACCTCGCAACTCTCCACCGATAATCCAACAATCTCAACTCTACATTCATCCAGAAAACTGCGATTTCCACTTTTCTAGCTGTCGCAGGGTAGTTTTTCCTTTCGCGTCACAATGCAACCGGACCCGACTGCTTCCGACACCTAATTCATCACGGAAAATTGGTTTTCCCTAGCCATTTTCCTCCCTTATTTCCTTCCTTTGAGCCCCGAGAAAGTCATAATTGTATACGAGTCAACATTTCAGAAGTAAATCCAATCGAACTTTTGAATAATTTGAGTCGTTTTACGTAAATTCGTAGTGAAGTCTTTGACGTGGGGGTGTTAAGATCGAATTGGAGTATTTTAAAGAGTGGGGGTAGCAAGGATGTGATCGGTGGTGAAGGCGCGGCATGGTGTTGCAGAAATTTGTGTCGACGAGAAATTGGTACTATAGGAGAAATAGAAAAAGGTGAGTGTGGCTAAAATAACTTAACTTTAACTTTTTTGCTGTTAACAGTTGAAATGGACTGAAATGGAGGGGTAAACCGCTGATCAAATTTTTGTACACCAATGCCTAATTTGGGAATTAAATGGACATTTCCTACGTAATTCACAAAATTCCCCATAATACCTAATAATTCCTAAGAATGCCTGCTAATTCCTAGTAATTCCTCTTAATTCCTCTTAATTGCCTATAATTCCTCTTAATACCTGCAATTTTCACTAAATTCGGAGAAATACTTATTAACAATTCCCCAAAAATACCTCTACTGATTCTTCTAAATAGTAGTGAAAAGATTGTTTAAAATTAAGAGAATGTTGCGCGAACGAAGGTTTTATTCTCCGTCTTACTACCTAAACTAACTTTTAGTTAATAAGGATAATACTAGATAACACATAGGGTGAGGACACACAAGGCGGCTTATGGTGCGTCAGACCTGAAGAGTCAAGCGCGAGACGAGCGCGAGACATTCCAAATTCGCTAAGTGTGGACGAGTCACAACCCACGGAGTCTCATTGCTATCCGCCCCCTGTCGGTTTTTCGACGGCCGATCAAAGAAAGCTCGCGGCTAAGTCGCGACGTGTTTTTGGAAGGCTCGCTCGACTGCCAGATATTAGCTCTGATTTATGAATTTCGACTATTTAAAATTAAGTAATCTCAAATTTTTAAATGGCAATAATTTTTACCATACCGAAATGCTTCACAAATATTTCTTTAAACAAATTGAATTATTACAAAATCTATTAATTTTAGATATATAATATCATATGCAAAAAAAGTTACCGAATTGTACGTAGAATCTAATAACAAAATAAAAAATAAAGTATTCCCATTAGAAAATATATGTTTTAATGTTAAAATGTGCCTCTGAACTTTCCAAATAATTTTTCTATTTAATATTTTGTTTTAAAAAAATGGTAAAAACGTATTATGTAAAAAACGTCGTGTCTCAAAACAAATGAACAAACAGCCAAAAGGGAAAAAACGGACGATGAATAAAATACGACAAACCAAATACCATGTTAAAGATACACAAATTTATTACTGTATGCATTATTATTTGGCCATCGTTTGTTATATTCAATTACAATTTAATATTGTTACGGATTCCGTGGGTCCACTATTTAAACTCACAATAAAATACTTAACGAATTTATTTGTTTCACTCTGTACACACACCTTATACTATTTACAACACAACTTATGCAACTACTATTACTCTAACTTTATTTCGCGGTATTTTCAGACTAACTTCAGATTTGACTTCAAACTTTTAAACTTTAAACTTGTCCAACTGTCAAAGCGCGGGTCTTATATACCCCCTGGCGGTTGTTTCTAGATTTTTCTAAAGAATTCTATAATTTTCTTTACTTTCTGGCGAATGCGCCAGGTTCCTTCCACATTGCGATTTTTTAGCAGTATGCAGTTATGCAACCAGTAATACACCTTGACAATATGTTTTGGCTTCTTCTCACTATGATCCAACTCGGGCTTGTCTCGTAGCAAACTGTCTTGCTTTCGTCTTGCGCTCGACTTGTCAAGTCTGGACGCACCATAATATTATTTATGGGTCCATAAAACATAAAAATTTTCGCCACACAAGCTATATCCTCAATGCTGGACCAAATAAAATGGTTAAATTCGTTTTTAAGGAATTTGATTTTAAATCTATTGTTGTCAATTATTTCAATCACTGCCAATGTAATAATTCTCATCATAAAATATGGCATAATATGATTTTATTAAAATAGTATTTTCATCTTTGTTTTGCTTTGTAACGCTAGCATCATTGCCTTTTTCTAGATCGGAAAAAGTTTCTGAGCCATCTGAGGTACTGTCATGCAAGGAAAAAGCAGACAATAATAAATCTGATGAGCTTGAATATATTTTAGATTGTTCAGTTGGCGCATTGCGGGGTCCCCCCCCCCTTCCAACGACAGAACACGCGCACAACAAAATTTACCGATTGCGCAAGCGTGTCAGCGTTCTACAAGGCCGGAATGTAATTCCCGCCTTGCCAATAATAATAATAATTGCCAATAATTCCCGCAATTCCTAAATAATTCCTTCATAATTCCCACAATTCCTCTATAATACCCACAATTCCTTAGTAATTCCTAATATTTCCGATAATTCCTAGATTTCCTACAGATTTCTCTGTAATTCCTAACAATTCCCGGATTTGTACATCACAATTCCCCAGCGGTTTACCCCTCGCATTTTCTTTTAAATTTCCCTATATATTTTTCGAAAACTTTTTAGAACTGCGTGTTCACCGCAAATTTTCCCACGGTATAATTTCTTAATCTCTGATATACCATAGTTACGGCTTTACTCCATGGTTAAGGCACTAAAAGGGATGCAAATACAAAAAATATCCGGTGGCTCTAAAATTTTTTTCAAAAAAAATCATTTTTTTTAATTTTGAAACTTAAATAACTCGGTTATTTTGAACTTATCGGAAAAATCGTAACGAGAAAAATATTTGCACTTATTTAAGACTCGCCCTGTATATCACTGTAATCCTAAAACTCCAATCTACACGCACCGGAAAAATCTAGGGATATCATTTTATTAAAGTTAAAAATAAATGTTTTGAATAAACAACCACATATTTGTAGGTCGATTCTTTCTACTTCGATTGAAATGAAGTAGTCACACTAGTTATTTCTAAGTTTAGGATATTTGCAGAAGTGTTTGTGCATTTTTTGTCAAATGTATAAAAAGCACCTAGCATCAATTGTTCGAATTTAACCTGTACTGGCTATGTTTTTATGATAACTGGCCAAAATTCATTCAAATAACTCTTTTTAGTATTAAACGACATTATGGAGCGTAGACATCTTAACAGAGACGAAATGCTAAGGACCATGTGTATGCTCGAAGCTGGAATGCGCCAAATTGACGTAGCTAGAGCATTAAATACAACGCAAAATGTAATATCGCGATTAAGTGCACGCTACCGTGAAAGTGGTGATGTTGCTGAAAGGCACACAAGGCGACATCGCATTACTTTTTCCCGGTTCTCTCCATACCCTAAGCCTTCTCGAATTCGGATGAATTCCAAAGCGTGACTCATCCGTGAAGAGAACATTGTTCATTCGACCACTGAACATGATCTTGAGCCCACAAATATCGTACCTCTCGATTTCCTCTCGTTAAGGGTTGAGCTCTCCAGGGGCGTCTGCTTCTTAAGTTGACCTCTCTCAAAGCTATTGCGAACAGTGTCAGGACTAACATTTACATTATGTGATCTTGGAGAATTAAATAAGCTCGACGCCGACCGACTCTTACAGCACCAGAGCTTAGTTTAATTCTCCAGGAAACACATAATGTAAACTGCTAGTCCTGACACTGTTCGCAATAGATTAAGAGAGGTCAACTTTAAGAAGCAGACGCCTCTGGAGAGCTCAACCCTTAACGAGAGGAAATCGAGAGGTACGATATTTGTGGGCTCAAGATCATGTTAAGTGGTCGAATGAACAATGGGCCAATGTTCTCTTCACGGATGAGTCATGCTTTGGAATTCATCCGGATTCGAGAAGGTTTAGGGTATGGAGAGAACCGGGAAATCTTATTCGGTTGGATCATGTTCAGGAAGTGCACCCTTATCAAGGTGGAACAGTTATGGTCTGGGGAGGAGTCCAGTTAGGCCGAAAAACCGATCTCGTTTTTCTTGAAAGGTTTCTAACAGGAATCACATATCGTGATTTAATTCTTGAGCCTGTCGTGTTACCATATGCCAATGATTTTGGAAGAAACTGAGTTTATCAATGCTCATCAATTAAACATCTTACCCTGGCCGGCACAATCTCCTGACCTCAACCCCATCGAGCACGTATGGGACGCAGTCCAAAGAAGAATTTTGAGAATGGGTATGCCTCGTGAAACCTGATCAGGAGCGTGGAGAGACGATGTAGGGCTGTAATGAACAGTAGAGGAGGCCATACCCTTTATTAAGTAAAAATGGTTAAGTAATTCGCAGTTTAGAATAAAAAAAATGTGTGTATTTTCTTGAGTTCAATAAAAATCAAGGTAAATTTGAAAAATTCGGTAAATTTCGCATTTTTATTCCCAATACGTCCTGTAAACTATTTATTTATTTTAATTTTATTATATCAGAAATGCAAATAATAAAATTACTGACCGATGGCTGGATAAAATTGTAATATCCCTAGACTTTTCCGTTGTGTGTATTTCCGTATTGTAACGGTATTTTAAATTATGTCTTTATTTTCGAGAAAATTTAGTCCAAACATAAGGAATATTTTGTTGATGTTTGACCATCAAAATCGTAAAAAATGAGTTGTCTAAAAATGTGCTACAATACGGATATAGCATAATTATTTATCTTTAATTTCCTTCTTCATAAAACGTTAAATGCCGAAAGCTTATTTTGCTAGTTTTTTGGACTAGTGAGATGGACTCTTAAAGACTCCTTTCTTTTTAAACATATTGGAAGATCAGATTTCAGTATATGCTGTAGTTTACAGAATGCCGCCCACGACAAACCTATCCTCAAGTTAAAATAGATTTTTAGCTAAACGATCTACTGAAAGAAACTGTATAATAATAAACCGGAATGTTCCAGAAAACGTGATGCTGGAAACTGGCAAAGGGACGAAACTAGGTTAGACCGAGAGGCAGGGGGATGATTTATAGCTTTTGGGGGCGAAAAGTGAAAAAAATCCCAGTTATTAGATACGTTTGTAGGGAATAAACGGCACTTTCCGATTCGGGATGCTTTCCGAAGAGAGCCTGTTTAATATAAATTGTTTTTGCTTTAGTTGTTATTTCGTTATATCCAGAAAAGGAAACATTAATCATCTTTTATCTTTTTGATTGGATTAAGGTGGGATAATTTAGATGTTTGGGGAGGAATTCTTGGAAATATAAATAAGGATTATATAAATTATTATGAACAATGAATTACTTTCTTTTACTTTTTTTTTGTTATAGAGGGTTTA